TTGTGTGTGCTCCGAGTACTGACATATATCAGAAAAGGAGTGAAACTACGAACCCAACAAAGACAGTTAATTAAAAGCTGTGATATACTCTGGATAGATGTAAACAGGCACCCTATACTAAACATGTATCGATAACCACAAACAGAATAAATGTTAACATACATCATTGAACTACAACCATTCCCAGGATGCCTCATTAAAGACGATTTTAACGTTATACATGAAACATAGCAACCTGGATCGAAAAATCAATGCAAAGGAAACGAACTAGTAGTATAAGCAGATCTGGCTAAACTAGAATATATTAGAGAAAAAGAAGTATTTACCTATACAGGAGGAAACATACTTGATCTTACATTCTCCAATATACTATTCGCAGAAATCAGGGTTTGACACGATCTATATAATGACTCGGATTACTACACCCTAGTAATAACAATACCTGGTAGAGGTATCAAGCCTTTAGATTAATATAACATCTGTATCCCGAAAACAGAACTACCGCGATTAGCGGGGCTAATAGCAAACGGAGTAGTATACCTGCTTACAAATGATACCCTCGACACTTCAGAAAGGATAAATGACTTCGCTGAATAATTTATGCAAATCATTAAACAAGCAATGACTGCAGTAGGAATTATAAACAGAGAAAAAGGCAAAGCAGTACCCTGGTGGATAGTGGAATACAAAAGGGTTTATACTGAGCATTTGAGCAGATAAGCTGTACCAGGGAGCCCCCCCACCATAGCAACGAAAGACTTTAAAACGATGGTCAGAGTAGCTAAACGTGATTACTGGAGATATATCATAGATGACATCTTCAGTGATAAAGACCTATACAAGATAGTCGGCTGGCATAAGCTAACCCCGAACCTTAAAAGTCCCCCAATCACCTCAAACGGAGTAGTGATAGAAGACTCGATGGAAAAAGCCGAAGTACTTAGAACTGAAATCCTGGATCGCTTCAATGCAGAAGATAATCTGGAATACAATCCATTGGGAGATTAATAGAAAAGAAGTAGGCATTTACCCTGGAACTCCTGACTCATACTGGAAGAAATCGAAACAAGTGTTATTGGAGTATTCAGCATGTCCCCAGGAACTGATCAAGTCATGGTTAGGATCCTCAAGGTTTGCTGGGAATACCTCAAGGATCTGCTAAGATGGCTTTACCAGAAATACTTCGAATATAGCCATTTCCCAAAAACCTGGAAGCTAGCTGAAGTGGCTATACTACCCAAAATTGGGAAAAAGGATATGATATCTGCAAGGTCATGGAGACCCATCGCCCTGCTCTCCTGTATAGGAAAAGGTCTGGAAAGAATAGTTGTCAAATGCCTAGGCTGGACAGCCCTAAGATACGATATTATCAGCCCCCAATATGGCGGAGCCCTGCCCAAGTGGTCTGCGATGGACCTGGTAACATCCTTCACACACGATGTGGAGATGGCATTGGGGGTTGGCAAGAAAGTAACCATAGTCACTATGGATATGCAAGGCGTCTTCGATGCTTTGCTCAAAAGACGGCTACTTGCTAGGATGACAAAACAAGGCTGGCCTAAGGACCTTCTCCTACTAGTCGATTTTTTTCTGATGGAAAGGAAAGTCAGAGTATAGCTGGAGCAAGCTGCAACCAGGGAACAGGCGATAGCCTGTGGAACCTCTTAGGGCTCCCCCCTATTATTAGTCCTGTACATGCTGTACCTGGTGGAATTATTTTTACAAAACATTTCCTTCAGGTTTGGGTATACAAATGATATATGCTTATACAGAGCATTCAAAACCTTGGAGGAAAATACTAGATGTTTTATTAAAGATGTACAAGATATCATACAATAGGGATTGAACAATTGCGTTGCCTTTGCCCCAGAGAAATTGGAAATGATCCATATCTCCATGGATAATGGCAATGTAGCACCTGCTATCAGGGTCAATGAAGAATTTATGATTTACCCGATAGTAGTTACAGAAACAAACACTTGTCCAGTACTAAGATGGCTGGGAGTGTGGTTCGATAGAAAGCTAAACTTTCGCAGATATATCACTAAACGCGTAGACAAAGCCAGAGCAGTGGCAAAGCATATCCGAGATCTAGCCAAAGTTATACAAGGCTTCTCGGCACACGCCATACGCAAGACAGTAACGATATGTATACTACCCTCACTCCTATACAAGACTGAGGCCTAATACGGTGGCAGATTCAAAGCTGTACAAAGACTAAAAGCAGAATAGACAAAGGTCAGTGCCCGTCTTGGCTGGCATGTGACACAAATCGAAAAGGTTTTCATAGTGGTAATATAAGGAGTCATACCAGCCTGGAAAATTATACTGATGATCACCCTCTATCGTAAAGCAGATCTCCCCTCAGCCATAGCAGCCTTCGAGGAAGTCAAACTGAGGTTTGCCCTACACCTCCAAAGCGTAGATGTAACCCACCTGTTCACGAAAAGAATCGAACCCCCTATGATCGTCAAAGGGTGAGATACGGGTTCAAGACAAAGAGTGAAGATTAAAGTCCAACGACTTGGTCTCCTCGTCCCCCCGATTCTAAGGCTTACACTCGAACTACCACGATATACAACCGGGTACTAAATAGACCTAATAGAAGGGATTGATAAGAAAATAGTTGCAAAGGTCTTTAACATCTGGTGGGAAAACCTGTTAGACACAGATATCACCATTTTTTCAGATGGATCAGAAAATCACGTGAAAGGCAAATATATCGTAGGGTACAGGTACGTAACGTACCTAGGCAAGAATCAGATACTGGCAGGTTCTGGCTCCATCAATATCCAGTCCCACATCTTCGATGCGGAAGCTATCGGAGTATGGAAAGGTCTGGAATGCACCCTCAAGGATGCCAGGTACACCAACCAGAAAATCTGGATGTGCATTGACAGCGCCTCAGTTATCTGGGGCATAAAGGCTAACGCCTCTATATCATCACAATGGACATTCAACAATTGCCACAAGGCTATGGAAGATCACGATATTTGTGTTAAGTGGTCACCGGGATATGAAAGTATTGAGGGAAACGAGGCGGCTGACCACCTCGCTGACCTTGGTGTTAAGAAACCCAGTTGGGATACTGGACCAGTATTGCAACCCACATACAGTGGGGTAAGATCGATTGTATACACCCTTAGAGAAGAGGCCTGCTAGCAATAGTGAGAATCATACAAACCTGCTCTCTCGCTGTGGTATAAACAATGGGACCCGATCTATAAGGTCAAACCATCACCAGAACTCCTACTCCCACGAGTGGTTTTCTACAGGCTGATAGCTATCCGAATCTCATACGGAGACTTCGGATGGTATCACAGGAAATTCGGGTATACAGGAGACAAAGAATGCTCCTGTGGAAGGCCCAAAACCCTTGCCCATTTGGTTCACTGCTAGAAGGCAAGGGCTACCTTTGAACAATGGCTAAACAAGCCCTCCACACCACTATCGACAAACAAGGAAGGAATCAACTACCTTCGTTAAGTCTTAAGCAACCCTACGGACTTTGTTAAGCTGCTAAAGCTAACGAAGTTCTATAAAGATATATACCCAAAGTAAAGAATTACAAATCTGCATTCTACACTCAAACAATCTAAAAACCTGTGACAAGCTATATCTACTACCAGGATCGATTCGCAATATACGATACAAACGAAGCCACCAACTCCCTCTGCAGAGTGTATATAGAGAAACAACAATATCAACAGATATGAAAAACCTGGCTGAATACCAACAAGACGTGCGAAAGCATATTGGAGAATGCTTTCTGGAGTATCTCAAATACTTTAAATCGCTATACCAAAAGTAATCTACTGAATCACCAGAGCACACGCAACAATAGGCCCTAACACGGGCACAACCGTCTACACCAGGCAAAACAGCAGGACTACTTCAACTGGTGGAGGAGAGAATGTACAAATTGGAAGGTAACACACGATTACCGGGAATGGCCTCAAAGGCTTTCACTTTTCTTTCTAAGGCACTCTCATTTCATGTATCGTAAGACCATAGCTTAGAATATCTGCATACCCCTAGGGAGGTTCTGAGGGCAGCTACAAGCTGCCCTCCTGATGTAAAATAATACTACTACTACTACTACTACTTCCTATGATTTCATATCCAAACACAATATTCTGAAGAAAAATTTCTGGTTGCTAGAAGTTGAATTTCGGTCTGAATTCAAACTTTACAGAGTCATAACAATATATATAATATATACTACTCTATACAAGTCAATATAGTATCCCATACAGCGTTGCCCGAGATCATTGATCTAGAAAACGTGAATTTCACCAATCCACAGGCCTTAGAGATACTCTTCAATCTCAAAAACCGCTTTAAAAGAAAATAGTGTATCTTTACCAATAAGGTATCACTAGTTTTCAAACTAGGAAATAAAGCAAATACTAATATCATCAACCCAGCAATGAAGGTTTTTAAGACCAAACTTGCTGAGTACGAATATACTGAAAGAATTCAGCGAAAAGTCATAATTGGCCTGGTAGATATAATTGACAGATATATCGATTTCTTTGCTGTGGGGGATAAACGAATGATAACCAAGAAACTGAGCACTAGAGTTATAGAAATCCTTATACTTATTATTAACAATGGATCTGATTTATTGTTGAACCTATTGTATACACTATTAGCAATAAAAAGTGTAGCTTCCTTGAAGATACAAACCATCAAAACCTACACGGGAATCCTTAAGATCCCCAAAACAAATCAAAACGGGGCAGGCTGAGCAGATCCACCTATACCTCAAAAAGCTTTATCAAAGGCCTTATCTAACAATATATACACCAAACAATGGGTGATACAAACTGCCCAGAGTATGGATTACAGACTACTAATAGTTATCAGTCCTACAGCCCAGATCAACCAATCAGCCCTATATATATTAAGAAGTGCCTTTGTTGAAGCAATTACAAATCTAATATTGATAGATGTCCCTATTATATCTGTTACTAAGATAGGATAGGCTATTATACCAAAGAATCCAATAATTTATGAATTACTTTTTATATAGGAGAATAAAGAAATTATCTTTCAAATCAACCAAGGTATATAAATATATCAATTGGTAATATAGTATAATTATATAGTCCCTGGAGTTCTAATATCGATATATACACTGGATAGACTCCCAGCCGATATTGTAAGTCACATAGAAGCAGAGGTATAGGCACAGACAGGCCAATCCCTAGTCAATTATAAACCCTTCCAATACAGAGCCAATCCCCACAATAGTACAATCACATGGGTAGTATCCTTTCTCGAACCAATCTACAGTTTTAGACTTTTTAATGTTAGCGAATTAATACAGAAGATTAAGACAAAATCTACTATAACCCAATACAACATTGACTGCTAAGGCTGGTGTAATTCAACAAAATATACCAGGCTTACTCACTATATAAACTATAGTATTCGAAAAGATATATACCAAGACTTACAAAGATCCAATTATATAGCAAAAGCATGATATATTAACTGCTTTGGATCTTTTGCAGTAGAACATCAGAATTGCCCAACAATACCTAAAATAGTAGATAACAAAGTCATAATACCTACCAAATCACAACTCAAGACTATACAAAAACTGGCTCTAATAATAAAAACAGCAATACTTACTAATCAGAAGTCAAAGGACAATCCTAAGAAAAGGCTTATCCCAGACACAACCACATCCATACCTATACCTACCCCAATACTTAAAAAACGCTGGAGAGAATATATCACTGTATACAAAACAAACAGGGACAGTCCAACAGCAATACAACTCAAGAAAGACATAGTAACAACAAATTAATTAAAACAGAAACCTTTTATAAATACAAATCTTAACAAAAAGGTCTTAGCTAATAATCAATAAGATATTGAAATAGAAGAGAACCTTTAATCCAATATATATAAGTAGATGTTCGATGTATCAAGATAATATGTATAGTTATTAATAGTCTAGAATACGGGATCTAACAATCTGCTGGGCGAATATAAGCAGAATACCAGAGATCTATGATACCTTATTACAAATAATATTTGAAGACAAATCAGATGTCCTATATATACAGGAACCCTTTATATTCTTATTTACAAAAACCAAAATATACCCTGAATAGATCTTATATGTGCCAATAGACTCATGGACAGGAATATTCCTCAAATAAAGAGAAGCAGAACAACCCTGAGTACTGATATATATCAGAAAAGGAGTGAAATTGCAAATCTAACAGAAACAGTTAATCAAAAGTTGTAATATACTCTAGATAAACGTAAACAGGTATTCTATACTAAATGTATATCAACAATTACAAATAGAACAAGTGTTATTATACATTATTAAATTATAATCGTTTTTAGGGTATCTTATTGGAGGCGATTTCAATATTATATATGAAATATGATAATCTAGATCGGAAAATCTTTATAGAGGGAATAAGTTAGCAGTCTGGGCAGATCTGGCTGAATTAGAATATATTAGAGAAAGAAAAGCATTTATTTATACAAAAGATAATATACTTGACCTTTCATTCTTTAATATACCCTTTGTAGAAACTAAGGTCTGGCACAACCTTTACAATAAATCGGATCATTACATTCTGGTAATAACAATATCTGGCAGAGGGATTAAGCCTTTAGATTAGTATAATATCTGTATCCCGGAAATAGAACTATTGTGATTAATAGAGCTAATAACAAACAAAGTAATATATTTGTTTATAAACAATATCCTCAATATCTTAGAAAGAATAAATGATTTTGCTAACCAATTCATTGAAATCATCAAACAAGCAATAACTGCAGTAGAAACTATAGATAAAAGAAAAAGCAAGGCAATACTCTAATGGATAACAGAATACAAAAAGGTTTATACCAAATATCTAAGCAGATAAGTCATATCAGGGAATCCCCTCACCATAGCAACAAAAGAGTTCAAAACGATAATTAGAGCAGCTAAACGCAATTATTGGAGATATATCATAGATAACATTTCCAGTGATAAAGATTTATACAAAATAGTCGGCTGGTATAAGCTTGCCCTGAATCTCAAGAACCCTCTAATTACTTTAAATAAAATAATGATAAAAGATACAATAAAAAAAGCCGAAGTATTCAGAATAGAGATCCTGGATCGCTTCAGCATGGAAGACGACCTGGAATATGATCTATTGGGTGATTAGTGAAAAGAAAGCAGGTATTTACCCTGGAATTCCTGGCTTATATTGAAAGAAGTCGAAATAAATGTTATTGGAGTATTTAGTATATCCCCAGAAACTGATCAAGTTATAATCAGAATCCTTAAGATCTACTAGGATTACCTCAAAGATCTATTAAAATGGTTCTACCAGAAATGTCTTGAATATAGCTATTTCCCGAAAACCTGGAAATTAGCTGAAATAGTCATACTATTCAAAATCGGGAAAAAGGATATAACATCTGTAAGGTTATAGAGATTTATTGCTTTGCTTTTTTGTATAGGAAAAGGCCTGGAAAGAATAATTATCAAATGATTAGGCTGAACAATCCTAAAGTATAATATTATCAGTTTCTAATATAGTGGAGCCTTGCCCAAATATTTTGTAATAGATCTGGTAGTATTTTTTATATATAATGTGGAAATAGTATTAGCAGTTGGAAAGAAAGTAATTATAGTTATCATGGATGTACAAGGTGCCTTCGATACATTGTTTAAAAAACAACTTTTTGTTAGAATGATAAAATAAGGCTGGTCTAAGGACTTATTTCTGTTAGTTGATTTTTTTCTGATGGAAAGGAAAATCAGAGTATAGCTAGAGCAAGCTATAATTAGAGAATATTTAGTAATTTGTAGAACTTTGTAAGGTTTCTTTTTATTACTAGTCCTGTATATATTGTACCTGATAGAGTTACTTTTAGAAGATACCTTTCTCAGGTTTGGGTATATAAACAATATATACCTATATAAAGTATTCAAAATCTTGAAGGAAAATACCAGATATTTTATTACAGATATATAAGATGTTATAAAGTGGAAAACAAATAATTGCATTGCCTTTGCTTCAGAGAAACTGGAAATAATCTATATCTCTATAGGTAATGGTAATACAGTACCTATTATCAGAATAAGCAAAGAACTTACGATACACCCAATAGTGATTATAGAAACAAACATCTATTCAGCATTAAGATAGCTGGAAGTATGGTTTAATAGAAAGCTGAATTTTTGTAGATATATTATTAAATATATAAGTAAAGCTAGGGTAATAACAAAGTATATACAAGATTTAACCAAAGTTATATAAGATCTTTTAATATATACTATATACAAGGCAATAATTATATATATATTTCCTTTACTTTTATACAGGACTGAGATCTGATATAGAGATAGATTCAAAGCTACATAAAGACTAAAACCAGGATAAACAAAGGTTAATACCTACCTCGGCTGATATGTGATACAAATCGAAAAGGTTCTCATAATAGCAATATGAGGAGTTATACCAACCTGGAAAATTACACTAGTGATTGTCCTCTACCATGAAACAGATTTCTTTTTAGTCATAATAGCCCTTAAGGAAGCTAAACTGAGGTTTGTCCTATACCTCCAAAGTATAGATATAACCCATCTGTTTACAAAAAGAATCGAATCCTTTATAATCGTTAAAGGACAAGATACAGGCAAAAGACAAAAAGTGAAAATCAAAATCTAACAACTTGGTTTCCTCGTTTCTCCAATCCCAAAGCCTATATTCGAGCTATTACGGTATATACCTGACTACTGAATAGATTCAATGGAAGGGATCGATAAGAAAACGGTCGCAAAAGCCTTCAATATCTGGTAGGAAAACCTGTCAGATATAGATATTATTATTTTTTCGAATAGATCGGAAAACTATGTAAAAGGAAAATATATTGTAGATTATAGATATATAACATATCTAAGCAAAAACCAGATATTGGCAGGCTTTGATTCTATCAACACCTAATTCTATATCTTTGATGTAAAAGCTATTAAAGTATAAAAAGGTTTGAAATATATTCTCAAGGATGTCAGATACATTAATCAGAAAATCTGGATGTATATCGATAACGCTTCGGTTATCTGGAGCATAAGGGCTAATATCTTTATGTCATTACAATAGATATTCAACAATTGCCATAGAGCTATAAAAGACAACAATATTTGTATCAAGTAATCATTGAGACATAAAAACATCGAGGGAAACAAGATAACCAACCATCTCGCTAACCTTAGCACCAAAAAACCCAATTGGGATATTAAACCAGCATCCCAACCTATTTACAATGGGGTAAGATCGATCATATATATCCTAAAAGAAAAGATCTGCTAACAATAGTGGATATTATACAAACCTGCCTTCTTGCTATAATACAAACAATAGGACCCGATATACAAAGTCAAACCATTGCCAGAGCTTCTATTCTCACAAGTAGTCCTATACAGATTGATAACTATCCGAACCTTACATGAAAACTTCGGATAATATCACAGGAAATTCGGGTATACAGGAGACACGGAATACTTCTGCAGAAAACCCAAAACCCCTGCCCACCTAATCTATTACTGGAAAGTAAAAAACACTTTTGAACAATAGTTAAACAAGCCCCCTACACCACTATTAACAAATAAAAAAGGTATTCAATATCTACATCAAGTCTTAAACAATTCTATGGACTTTGTAAAGCTGCTAAAGTTTACAAAATTCTATAAAGATATATACCCAAAATAAAGGGCTACAAGTCTGCATTCTACAAACAAACAATCTAAAACCTTGTGATAATATACACCCACTACCAGGACTGACTTATAATATATAATATAAACAAAGCTATCAATTCCCTTTGCAGAATATATATAGAAAAACAAAATTATTAATAAGTATAAAAAACCTGATTAAATATTAACGGAATATATAAAAGTATATCTACAAAACGTTCCCCAAAGTATAACAAATATTCGAAGAGCTACATCAAAAGTAGTTTACTAAATTGCTTAGCTTATACAATAACAAACCTGCAACCTAGATACAATTGTTTATATCAGGCAAAAACAGCAGGATTATCTCAACCAGTAGAGGAGAGAATATACAAATTGGAAGATAATATACAATTACTAGGAATGGCTATAAGGCTTTCACTTTTTTTTCTAAGACACTTTTATTTCATATATTGTAAAACTATAGTTTAGAATATCTGTATATCCCTAGGGAGGTTCTGAGGGCAGCCCTAAGCTGCTCTCCTGATATAAAATAATACTACTACTACTACTACTCCTATGATTTCACACCTACCTTCACTCCTTTACAGGAGTACCGTAGATCACTACTAGTATTATAACAGAATGAATAAGACGTATCTTTTCAATTTGTCAAATGCAACTGATTCAAAGCACAGTAATTTATGACAGGACTTTCTACTATTCACAATAACGGTAATTGGTCACCTCACCTATTAGGGGACGCTATTGTCATGATCGATTTACATATGATTTACAGTTCTAAGGAGCAGTGCACCCGAGATAACTATGGACAGACTTGTCAGTCCAAAAGCCAGACACGTGCAGCTAGGATTCTTGACTTCCGAGTTCCCTCCCAAATCCAAATGCTGCAGTGAACTTTGTGGAAAAATGTTCATACACTCTTCATCTCGTATGCCAATTTCCTCCCAGTTTCCTTGTCATTCCGGCGCTGCATCACCCCGGCTCTCTGTCCCAGTCTTATGCTTCTTGAATTGTCTCAATAGATCCGCCGACTTCCATTCTTGAGGACTGGTACTTGTCATTACCACATCTTCCATCACATCATTAATCAACTGATCAACTTCATCCTTGGTCCTTTTTCTACTTTGCACTCTTCGGTCTCTCCCCATAATTCCCGTCGACGTTTCAGCTCCCTCTCCCTCTGGTAAAACATCCCGCGCTTCAATTTTCAAGTTAGAAATCAATCTTTTTCCCCACCCAACATACTCCTCGCATAACGCGTGCCACCCCTCGGTAACTTGTCCGATCTCCTGTTGGTACCAAACCAACCTATCCAAACCCCTCTCTGTCAACAAATAGCATTTCTGTCTGACTGACAATTCCATATGTTCCACACCCCCAGCCTTCTCTATTTCACAACTAGCCATCAACATGTTCGCCGCACTCTTGACAAATGACCCCGCGTATCGATCCGACACCAACGCAGAACACATTTGGCTCGCCCTCACAGGATCTCTCTCTGAATGGACCGTCCTGGCCGTCTCATTCATCAAGTCAAACTCCCTCTGTTCCGCCGGATATTTCGAGATGGCCCCCTCTTTCGCTTCTGGAACAAAAATCAAGGCTTGACACTTCTCCAGCAGATTATACGAATAATTCAGCTTCCTCCCTAATTCCCCCCACTTGAACTTGTTTCCAAATCTATCCATGACTTCTCGGTTAAATCCCCTTGTTCCCCTATTCCAAGCCAGCAACGCTTGCTTAGCAGCCACATCTTCGCCCGATCCAGGAATCCCTCCTAATCTTGCGTCCTCTTGCTGTCTCTGCCTCTCCAATACAAGACCCGCAGCCTTCTGGTGATTGGCCGCAGCAACGACTAATAATTCCACTACCTCTCTCATGGCCGTATTCATTAATCCCAAATCATTACTAATGCCACTCATATCATTCCTTCTACTCTGAACCATCGCCTGTATAATATCAATCACAGTCCGAACCTGCGCCTTTATTGCCTGCCAAAATTCCTTCCCCGTCTTCCCACTCTCAGCCAGCTGCGTCACGAAAGTCAAAAGTCTCCTCTCCTCCGGCGTATTCCCCATTTGCGCTCTAATATCCCCCATCCTACTCGCAAAAACCGCATCCTCACGCACATACGGATCATGCGAGTTGGGATCCAGGCGATCTCTCCTCTTGATCAAATGAGGATCGTTAGGTCCCTGTATATACGACATCCTGGTCCCTTCCTTCACAGTGCGATATTGAAAAATACGTCCCCCAAATCCCCGAACCATGAGATCCCAAAAGTCTTGGCTGTGCACATCTTCGTAGAATTGAACCCCGATCGGGTAGAGATCGCTGTGTCTTGGGATTGGCGGACTAAGGAGCACGGGTTCGTTCTTGCCGGCGAAGCCTTGGGTCGTGAAGGAGGGGAAAATCGTTTCGCTGAAACTGGCGAGGAGACGACGGGTTCGAGCGTTTTTGGGGACTTTGCAGTCGATTCCTCCGTGCATCTATATTATTGAGAGATCAAGATCAGAATCTTTGGTATGCCTCAAAGGGATAGGATAGGAATGGATATCAGATGATGAATTAACCTACCGCCCATTGCCAACTCCAGCCTAGCTCCGCCATTTGTTCGTGTTCATAGTATCCTTCTCGATGATTGGTGAAGATCCGAGGACCAAGACGTCGAAGAGCTTGGTAATAGCCTATGGCATGTATGACTTCATGTGAAATCTATCAAGGCATTAGTTTGTGAGGATTAGATAGGGTTCCACTGGAATATGAACTCACTGTAGTAGCAGTACGAAAGGTCAATGCTGCCCTCTCGGAATCTGATAAGTCATCGTATTGATAGAAGAGAGGCTCTATAGCTTCGACATTGATAAAAGTTTGAATCCGCCACTTGTAGGATTAGTTTTAAATCATCCCATAGACTCGCATACAAAGATTTCCAAGCATGCAAGTAAGTTCACAGAGCCTACGTACCTTGGCACCAGGCACCTTCCTAACAAGCATCTCCCAAACATTAATCGTTGTAACTCCCAAAGAATTCTCAAAGCTGCTGACCGGAAAAGTTGGGTCTGGCGGATCCGAATTCCTCGGGTTTGTGTTACTATAAAAATATGAGAACATATAATCCATTTCGTTCATTAATCCATAGAAGATTCGATCTCTCCCAGCGGCAACTTCTCTTTCGCGTTCAACGGTCCATGGGCCTTCTCTGGGATGGAAGGTGTGGTGTTCGTCTCGTATTTTTGCGCCGGGCGGAAATCTACTTTTTACGACATAACGGCGGGGTCCAAAGAGTAGTGCATCAAACTGTGAACGGAGAATCTTGGATTAGTTATGGGTAATGGGTGAGGGAAGATTGAGTCATACCCATGGTATAGATTGGGAAGACATTATATATTGTGAAGCAAGTTTGACTATTGGTCGAAGGAGATTCCAGACCCTATCGTTACTCGATTGCCAACTTCCACCCAGGGGGTCATTTCTCTAGAACGCAGAAGAGTCAGTAACAAGAAATCTTCCAAACCAATCTCCCAATGTAAGATCGAAACAACAATTTCAACTCACAATCGGTACACTCTTCGTGCTCAACCATGCCGTACTAGGTTTATCCTCCCATCTATCCCTCCTCAAAAGGGGTATAATCCCTCCGGCCAACGTACTCGGTTTCAGCGGCCTATCACAAACCACATCTAAATCCTTCAACTCCCTTGTCGTAAAACCAAGCAAACCATCCTTCTGATAATCTTCCAGAAGCCTAATCTGATCATGTACTCTCGCATTATCCCAATGTATCGGGTTTAGAGGATCTAGAGGGGTCAACCAACTTTTGAAATGACCCGGGGATTTGGGTCTAAATCTGCGAGCGTAATTGGTGAGAGGTTGGTTATCTTGCTGTTGTCCTTGCGGATGTGGTCCTGGGTGTGGTGGTTGATGTCGGTGTTGAGGCTGGGGCTGGAATTGGGGGTGTGCTGAGGCCATGTTTCATAATATATTTTGATCTCGAGATGCCAAAAAATTGAAGATAAACATTGTTTTGGAGATTTCAACTTTTCCATCTTCCACCTGTCATAACAAAGGTTTGAAATTGTAAAAATCGTGAAAGGACTAATTTCTCGAGTTTTTTTGTTTCCGGGTCATCCTTTGTCGACAATCTGCGGAGACTAGCCGAAAATATTCTTTGAGGGTTGGTTAGATGACTTTACGAGCAATTGGCATTGGAGATGTTTCTCTTTATAATCGTTCCGTGTTATTAGCAAATTTTTAAAAATACCACCACGAAAACTTCATGTCAAGAACCCTTCTAACGTGAACATCTGCAAAACACGAGAGCACATAGTAATGAATGATTGTCTCAACTGAGAAGACAAGAGTGCATCTACTACACATAGGTTTTTGATAGAATGAAAGAAAAGAACCAATGATACAACAGCAAAACCGAGAGCATCATACTCCTGACCAGAACCCCGGAGCGATAGAGACATCGTTCTCTTTCTCTACGCGTTTTTCATTAGTCATTACAGCCTCATTGTCAATTTGACTTCTCCTGTCCTTGTCTCTCCAACATCCGAATCACCGGCAAACGCACAAACAACCATCCCGAAAACTTATTAGAAGCCACTGCAATCCCATCATTAAACTGTTCTATATCCCTCGCTCTCGTAGGGAGAGAATTTCCTGTAAACACGAACGCTCTTGCAACTTGGGTTCTGTGGAGCACCCTCGCCAACAATCCAAGCCAAAGTGGTATAGGCATATCCCCAATACGTATCACAGATGGCCCACCTATAATAAGCTTCCGTCCTAAAGGTAATCGGTGAAGTTGTATCATCCAAATAGCTTTGCATATTCAAGAACTCGTGGTCGTCAAACGCTACCGTCCATTCCGAGGTTGAACTGGGAGTAAACAATGGCATCGCAACATTGCTTGTGGCTCTAATGCTAAGACTGAAAGGTGAAGAGAGATTGAAATTTCCACCTCGAAGAAGCCATGTCAAGATACCGGTTTGGCCGATAGTGGTATTGAAGCCGGTGTCGAAAGAGGAAGTGTTGAAATTGTATGTGGAGAAGGTGGTGTTTTTACTCTCGATTGAAGGGCCGAGACAAAGGCCTTCGATGGCAGCGCCTTCATGGCAAGGTGAGAGAGTGAGGCCATCTAGTGCGTAATCGTGAGACTCAAGTACGAGGACAAATGGTGCGGATTGATTTGTGTATTGTGCCATAACTTGAGTTGCTGCAGCTACGAGAAGACTCGCCGTGACGAATGAGGTACGCATCCTGAATTTGGTATTTGGGAATGTGTTGATTGTATGAATTAATGATAGTAGCAACAGTTGGTTTAAGGAATCGATTGTGGTGATAGGTTTTGAAGATATGAATGAATGGATATTTTGAATTGGGGAAAGCACTTGGTTGACTTATTATATGTCTTCCAATAGAGGCAAAAATGAGGAAGGCGCAGAGGGAGGTGGGATGATGGTGGCGCCAAGGAAGGATCTCGTATTCACTGCTGCACCTGCTGGGTGTTCGAAAGATCTACATGATCTGATCGGCATGAACACAAAGAATGCTGTTTAACTGTGAGTGACAACAATAATTGGCATTGAAAACGAACATCGTACGAGGTATGATCGGGTATCACAAAATGTGTCTTAGACACTAAAAATCCAAGAGCAGGTTTATTCATGGCATACAAATATATAATACAGGGGAGGGTACAGGCGGATAAGCCCGGCCCCGGCTGCTAGATTACCCCGCATTTGTGAATGCAACCTCGTATTGAAGCACTCGTACCAATACTATAGAGCATTGCACAGGATGGCATCTAAATGGGGAATGAACGTCTTTTCTGATCAACACGAGGTGAAATATTGCATAGTTGCATTAGACCATCTGAATAACACCAAACTCAGTCCGGTACACCTCCACTCCATAAAAACATCTGCTTTCAAACCACTAGGTATATGACAACTCCAACGTGCATGGCGTGCATACTTCACTGCGACCTAAATTTAAATTCAACAAATTTCAACTGCTGGCATTCTCACCCACTGTCTCTTTTCTACCAACAGTTTATATCGATGATGACTCATGATCACTCGCACCATAATGCGCCGATGAGATTCAACTTGTCCATATGGCGTTCAATTGATGGATTCCCGTATTCGATCGAAATGTTGCTTTTGGTCAAACAACCATGAGTACCGAATCGCCCAATCCTGTGAACTCACTCACAGTTTAAGTGAGTGATTCCAAATATACAGCCTGATGCTTCGCTTTGGTCGTCGAAGTCATCCGCAAAGCCGCTGTGCTCCGACTGTCTAGCACTCCGGGTGCTTCGTGACTCAAGGTGAGTGACAGTTAAACCCTTTGGCGCGGCCATATTGACTGCAACCGTTTTGTTGCTGGTTCTTTTCAATTCTGCCATTATTTGTACTAGAGCGTTGTGGACCTTACTCTTCAACACAGGTTTGACAACACCAGCTTTCCCTTCATCAATCACCTCTTGGAGTAATGCCATGGCGGCTTTTATCTGTCTTGTTAACTTGGCCAATTCTTTCTTAAAGATGCGGAAATCATAGGTCGACATCCATAATAACGTATAAAGTCTTTCGAGATTTTCTCGGCTGGCCCCGAACCTTGCTCGTCGTTGGAGGCTTAGACAATCTTCCAAGCCACGGTCAGTCTTCGAGATTATGTCAAGAACCTTGTCGACATTTCTTAGACTGGAGTGTATAAGAATGTTTTCAAAACGGTCTAAACGAAGATAGTCGAGAGTGACCATAATTGCAGCATATAACCTACAAACTTTCTTCTCAACATTTGATCCATTTGCCTCGATTTCCACTATGATTGGGGTAAGTAATGGAAGGATATCTAGGCAAATTTGTCGGACGGCTGCCGTTGATTCGGTTAATAAACTTTGGATCTCGTATGCCGGTCTGTAATCATCAGCGCCCCCAAGAGTAATAGCAAGCGTAAACTTTTCAAGAGTATATCGTGGTGTTTGGGATTGACCATGTCTTTCGAATGCGGTCTCAAGGTAGTATTGACATAAGAGTGCCTTAACGCGGTGGATAGCCTCTGACTTGGAGTTGAAATACGTAATCGCCTGACGAAACATCAATTTTGCTTCTGTTTCCATAAGAGAGTACTCTTGTGAGTCAACACGATTAAGACAATGAATCAGCAGAAAATTTACAATTGTAGATCTATCCACCATTGAATTTTCAGGATCGTGATCGTACAGTAGTGGTGCACACCCAGAAGTAAAATATCCCGAAGCGAGTTGAGAACACAAAATTATCATATCAGGAGGAAGAAGTTCACTTGGATTAAAAATTGTCAGACAAGGCGGCAGACTTGGGTCAATACCGAGATAGAGTCTTTCTGCAATATCGAGAACGATTCTTTCTGCTATCAAAATGTCGGTCGCTTGGTAAGTTGGAACACTCGTAGTTACATCCTGGCTTATGCAGATCATACCAGCAGTGGGATCTTCGACTATGTTTTGGTTCTCGATCAAGCTTTGATTCTTGACCAAACTTTTATTCCGAACCAAGCTTTCGTCGATAAAGTCCATGCATGGATTATTTGCTGTTGTAGATGGTGCGGCGTTGTGTGAAAGCAGGTCTGGCATATCCCGGAGACGATAGTGAGAATGCTCCTCCAATGCTCGTGGGTTCATCTCTGGTTGTAACCCCAGCAAAAGGGCATGGTCTCCCAATTCTTGAGACACCATGTTGCCACCTTTCGGAGTTTCCATTTCTACTTCGTTGTAGTCATGCGGCAAAGGAGTATGGTACGTAACATTAGCTGGCGTTGCTGTCCATCATTATAAGCGTTTTAATTAAACACAATCGTTCCATGCTATAAACTTACCAGCACTTGGTGAAGCAATGTTCTCCTCCCTAATCAATTTCCGTCGCTTAAAGTCCTCAATTCTTTCAGCCTTAATTTCTTCGGCACCATGTACAAACACGGTATCTTTTCCCTCAGCCTTTCTCTTCTGTTGCTTCGCGACGATGACCTTCATGGCGTCTTTGCCAAGGTACTTATCGTAAGTCCATTCTTTGAGCTTGTCTTTCCACTTCCTCAAACTATGAAACGAATTAAATTTTTATGTGTCGAGGTAATCTATCAGCATACCTGGCCGTGAATCCATGATTTGTCTTGATCAATTCCATTGTCCTCTCGAGTGTATTCTTCTCTTCCACGTATATGTGGTAGATGTCTTTCCTGAGAACTTCCCATTTGGCATCGTTTCTGGCCTTTACCAAGCCTGGCGGACGAATGTTGCATTCGGAAGCAAAGTTTGAGCAATTGTGATTGTCTATACTCGTAGCCATGATTTGTCTAAGAAACATTTAGAATGATAAGAAAAAGTAAAGAGAACAACAGTGAAGATATGTTGACGCAGCTGCCACCGTTCACGCAAGCGAGCCAATGATAGCCGCGCACAAAAGTGCATTTTTACTTGTCCAGAGTTGGATACCACAAACACCTCAAGGAGAGTAACATGTCGTACAAACCAAAGTGCAAATCGCCAAATTCACAAGGCTATGCCGTGGAATTATGTAGCTCAACAAATGAGGCGATATTGAAGACTCAGACTCGAGGCTGGTTTATAAGAATGCGAGGGCCTGCGTTTGAGGATATGCTAAGATACCGTTACATTCTTGGATGTTCGAAAGACCGCATATGATGAAGTCGCATTGTAGAACATAAAATCATGCTGTCTAGCGTATTACAGGATCGGGCTGTTCGTTGTTGGAAGCTTCTGTGCGCAAAAATAATTTAATACGTGACGATTATTTCATCTCAAACAACGGCCTGCCTTGAGGTGAGAAAAACTGACACCACTTGCTCATGGCACGTAGACTGAAAATTTCTCCATGTCCGAGGACCTTTTGTTTGCCAAGAATCGATAGAAGAACCGTCATCCCCCCCAGGACTATAGGGGGACGTCAACCTTGAATGTTGGACTAAAAGACCTTCTTAAATCTTTAAAGGAACTTTTTAATCAGCGCAACTTGAATCTGAATACAGGTGATCATTGCTGCTGGGGGTATGATGTAGATCATGCGCTGAAACACCTTTTGAGAGGAGCTTAGGCTCTGCAGCGGCTTCTTCCTGGCCATGATTAGGACGAATATTACTTAATTCATTGAAATCTGGTCCGAAATTGAGGGAAGCCAGCCTTCAGAAACCGTGATACCAATTCGAGCAGCTTTGGGATTTTGTAAGTTACTTACATCCATTCTTGGGGTTATGGCAATGGCTTTCTTTTTTGTGACAGTGCCCACACAGTGATTCGTCCAGTTTCCGTTTTGAATAGACGAGATTGTCAACTCTGCAATTGTTTTGGGACGTAATTGAAGCAGTCATGGTAGAGAATATCATGGTGGTAACAATGTTAACTTGGGATCCGGAATTTGGTATCATCAATGCAGATATGATGCTAAGGCGCCAGGGATCACCAATTTTTCATCAAAGTTTCGACGGGTAGCCTCGGTCGCAATTGGCAAGTAGCCAGTTCCAGGCAGCACAGGTTGTTGTCCCATCTTGTGTTCCTCTAACCAAGAGAAATTATTGGTATCAAGCACATATCCCCATTGTCATTGTTCTGGATCTGAAGGAGAGCCTGAAAGAAGAGCACCCAGAAGATCGTGGAGTTTGAATTCCGTAGGCAATTTTCTTCACTGGGTCAGTTCTTGCTTGTTATCTCCTCAGCGGAATAGAGATCCCTGGAAGATCAACGACAGGCAGATCTATTCTTGTGATGATGAAATCACCTGCTCGCTTCTCTAGGCGTTTACACGCTCAAAATAGCAAAATAGACTGCATACCCTCTCATGGTAAGAATCTCAGGAAGATCCAGGAAACGAGTCACGGAGCTCTGGCCACGTACCAACGTAGAAGCATAGTCCAAATCTTTGAGCGTCATGCCCAGACTATCTCGAATTTTCCTCAAAGGACCGGCCAATGCGGAGTGTGGACCGATTTCGATAAACTGTGAGACTTCAAGATCTGTTGCTAATGCAACTTCTACAGCTTCAGTGTAACACTATCAGGTAAGTTGTAGCATGCAATACAGAGTCCGTCAACGAGATAAGGTTGGATATCTTCAAGCCCGGCGCCAAATGCCAGCATAGTATCTGTCACTTTTAGAGTGCCAACTTTCAGTCCTCAATAGAATGCAGAGACAACAGCTTCTTCGGCTGTTGTGAGATTCGCGGCATACGAAGATGCAATTTCGCCAGACAAATGACCGATACATGCAACTAGTATCAAATGCATAGGTGACAGCTTACCCATGCCAATCATCGCAACGGACTCTCGAAAAGACATGATTGTAACACTTGTAGGATTGATGTGTAATTAACAGAGAATCAACAAATGAACACAAAGATCGGTAGAAAATGAGAGGTCGCAAAATATCGAGATTATAATTATCGTTTGCGGAGATGCATGATCCCTACATACAGCTAAATTAGCTTTCCTTATTGTCGAAACCCCCGTCAAGCGGTATATGGGTTTGGGAAGAGTCCCAGTTATAGTTGCGCAAGCAGCCTCCATTAATTGAGGATTGATTCTACATATGGGCGTCCTTAACACGGCATATGACGTGCTTGACTGGAAGGATATCCTCTCTTTAATAGCGAAATATGTAAAGGCTCCTTGGCCTACCGAAGGCGAAGACGCTGTCGATAACTTGCAGCCGTTGATTGTGAGAGCAAAGATGTGGCGGTGTATGTGTGGCGAGTACGTGGCGGGTGTGTCACGCTTTTTCTGCCATTTGATGCCGCCTTTATTTTTATACACGTTCTTCCGTTCCTCCCTCTTCCCCCCCCCCCCCCATTCGATGATCAACATACTCTTCTTTACTGTTTGATCTCGAGACACACATTCTATCGACTACTATCTCTCATTCAATCTGCCATCCAATCGCATTTTCCAAAGCATTGATATTGTGTTATCTTCCTACCCCGCACAGACTTGCCAAAAGGAAAGCTTGATTTCGGATTCCAAGAGATACTACTGAACAACCAACTAATTTAAGTCTGGTATCAGTGGTATGCGCTTCAAGATTCTTCTAATCGAGCGGGCTCTAGACAACAGACGCGTAAGACGTCGATCGTCGTAGCAGCGTATAGGGAGAAAGTTGCCCTCGAAATGCTATATTTAGTTCCCCATGATTGTTGATCATCACTATTGATGAATGTTTTGGTTAAGCTTCAAGTTCGTCACAACAACACAGCAGAGAGAGAATGTTGCGATCCAATGAGCATTGAGTATCTGATACACTATGTGATCAGAAATATTGGATTTGGGGTTCCCAGGTCGTTTCAAACGCGTTCCGTTTCTCAAGTCTATGATTCCATGCGCACTGACATCGCGAGGAAAACAAACGGGAATCAAAGTCCCGGAAGCTTGATTGTTGAAACCATATTTCGTCATGTACTTGATCCATGAAGTTTTGCATGAATTCAGGTCGGTTTGGATGGAGTCTTCCCGTTGTAAGGAATTGAATATTTAGAAACTTGCGATTGGGACATACACTTGCTGTACGTTCTATATAAACCCCCAGGCTGCACAGAATCTTCCATCTTCTCTTGGCTACGCTCACACAACTGACTTCATATTCTCTCATCTATCTGCAAGTCCTTTATTTCAATCTATTTCAGTCCTTTATTTCAATACTACTTCCTAAATAATAATCAATATGCGTAATCAATCCATCATTTCCCTTGCGCTGGTCGCATTTGCCTCTACCTCCATTGCTACTTCGGCTATAGTTGAGAGAGGTATGCCCATTGGGGATCTTCACGCTGCAATCGTTTCCGCCGGCGCACAATTCGACCAGCTATCCGCACGAGGTCAAGCCGAATTTGCCTCCCTTGCTGCCTCCGCAGTTGAAAGAGATGTCGAGGCAAGAGCAGATGCCACATCTTTACTTTCACTCCTCCCTGCCGGGCACGGATCTGCCAAAAGAGCCAATGATGCGACTTCCCTCCTCTCGCTCCTTCCTGCCGGTCATGGTTCTGCAAAACGAGCAGATGATACTGGATCGCTTCTCGCTCTTCTCCCAGCGGGTCACGGCTCTGCAAAACGTGAAGCAGAAGAAGAAGTTAAAAGAGCCGATGGCGCCTCTGGCCTTCTTGCTCTCCTCCCAGCCGGTCATGAGAAAAGAGCCGACGCCACTTCGTTTCTTGCTCTTCTTCCAGCAGGCCATGGTTCCTCAAAACGTGAACCATCCGAGGAAGAAGTCAAGCGAGCTGAGAATGCCGCTGATCTCCTTGCCGGTCTTCCAGCAGGTCATGGCTCTGACAAGAGAGCTGATGCATCTTCTTTCCTTGCATTACTTCCCGCGGGTCATGGTTCTGGTTAGATTTGATAGACTCAATGTGTGTAACGATAAATGGTGTCGAGCGGGTTATATTATGGGGCAGGGACATTTGCATGGTTACTCCTGAGCTTGGAGATTGGAACGCTGCTAGATACAGCTTTTTAGTTAATACGCTCCTTTACAACTCACATTTTTAATCATGATTACAATGCAAATTCACCTCACTGGGTGGTTGTTCAATAGTGACTATTCCGATTACTAGGCATTCCACGAACATCCCTGATGGATAGCTCCTTGTGCCAAATCATAAAAGCCCCAAGTCCAAACCTCAGCCTGATATCTGATATCTTAAACGTTTATCGAGTATCATCACAACCATTTAAAACAATTTATGGTAGGTACCGGGGCATCTGGCTCGGCCCGGTACTAGCAGTATTACATAGGTAACCTATCTCAATAAGATTCCAATATAACAATCTAGATATGCAGCAATCCAGATATATAACACAACCGTTTTCAAATCCTATTCACAGTATATCATTTACCCAAGATATACAACTAAAGTCTTCGAATGACCGGAACTCTTTTCGAGTATTCAATTATCGTTTCTCATCGTCTCAATTATGATTCTAGAATGTTTGAGATACCTACTAAAAATAAATGCAGCAAAAAAAAGCCTGTGAAAGTATAAACTGCCGGTACCCCCCCCCCCCCCCCCCAATATGGAGCTACCACCCCCTTCCCCGCAAGATATGCAACAAAAGTGTGGAATGGCAGGGGCTATTTTTTATAGTAGGAAGCTACTTTCTAGTATGATGACACTAATTACCCCCACAAGGCTAAAGTTCCGTAACGGGATCTATTATCTCTAGTACCGGTATAATAAAACTATCATCTCTACCTAGGTAGTTTCATCCCCAGTCTCTTCTCTAGTGCGGCACCAACAGACAAAATAGAATAAAGCAAAACAAAATAACACTGTGTCCTTTCCTTTCCTTGACTTAATTCTTGACTCGGATATATACACCGGCACATTCTCCAACCCCCCTTATCCCCTCCCTCACCCTCCTCCCCAATTTCAATTCCAATCCCAACATCGACTTCCTCATCATCGGTTCCCTCAGCGTCTTTAAATAAAAATCTCTTTAATTTTTCTGCAGACGATGCATTTCTATACCGTGAGCATCACCTCTTGACAGATCTACATTGCATGTACCGGCATCCGAAACAAGCAGTTTTCCAAAAGAAAGAAAAGATTAAGAATATAACCACCGCGCGGGAGGAGCCGCAAGCTGCAGATAGTGTATTTTACAACCGAGTTGGTAGAAGTTGAAGCAAGTTCCCTTGCGTGTATGACTGAAGGCACCACCGGAGTGAGACTTTTCTTCCTAAGATATTGTTAGAAGGGAAGTTTATAACACCATATCCTGTCTCTTTTATATTTTTGAGTCGCAAAAATCAAAATAATCATCTTGAGTTCTGGGTAGCTCTAGCGCTTCCCTGAAGTCTGTAATCTGGTGGATGTGTATTGCATATGTCTTACCTTGTGTACTGGGATTCGTTGGTGTGAGGCATCGTGATTACGTCGTCGTCGTTGCTGGTGAAGGAATGGATTCTTCGATGAGATTGTCTATGAAATTGCATTGAGAGTGTGGATGGCAAAACGGATGCCGGTAGGCTAAAATTCAATAATGTTTTTATGGAGGTCGTTGATCTTGAGTTTGGTCCAGTGATTGTCTCCTCTGGCCCTTGGAAACAAGAAAGAGTAGATTTGCTTCATGTGTCCTATTGATCGAATTCTTTTGTGTTCGAAAGATACACGAATAGACAATCGAAGATTTTGTCAATGAAAACGAAGGACACGCTGTGTAAAGTTAGCACACATAAAATTTATTTCACTTGGAAATGTCACAATAGATTCGCGTAAGGCGCTGTTTTCACCAAAAAGGAAAATCGGATGATTTCATAAAGTTAATACATAGGTTTAGAAATTAGCCATTCTAATTCTCATTCTCATTCCCAAAACTCGAAAACTAAATACATCTGAATCAGAAACCCTTTAAATATCATACACAGTAAACCTTACTCTCCTAAGACAAGTCGCTTATATCCAGCCATTTAAACCCCATTCCTCATATCATCATATCTTCCCAAAAGGTTCACACACTATGGAGCAGTGCAAAGCAATGCTTCACCAGCAAGCGGAAGTACACAGCATGAAGCTTGCTGACCACCTGTAGCACAAATAGCCTGGAAAGTTGCAAGGGTGGTTGGAGTGGTCGATGCTGTGAATCTTGGTTAGCATTTGCATCAATAAGTAGATAGGAACAAAACATACGAGCAGCACAATTCAAATTGGCAACACCAGCAACGCTAACGTCACAGCATAGGGCAGTATCAAGAGCAGAACTGCAGAGGCCAGATCGGCGTGGTTGGAGAGGAGAAGCGGCTACGAGAGCACTGAGGACGGCGAAAATTGTGGTGGTGGTGAATTGCATTTTGAGGTCTTGGGTTGAAATGTGTGATTGTGATTGCTGTGGATGTGTGAGAAAAGTTGTTGTAATGTCGAGAGAATTTTTGTATGGATGTTTGATGGATATTTGATGGATGTTTGATGGATGTAGAAAGGATGTGATGAGGATTGATTAAGAGGGGAGAATAACTCTTACTTATAGATATTTACCTTTCTCAACATCGGACGATGAAGTCATCAAACTTCAAGTCAATCACTTGAATCTGTTATCAATCTTTAGGATCTGCAATCTCTAGAATTGGCATTCGAAGAGATCTTCATCCCCAAAATCCCCAATATGTGGATATGGAGGAATCGTGGATAACCCGTACTTTGAGGATCTCCAAGAATCATCAAAGCTCAGAGACAAATGATTAGATGAAAGGTTAAAAAAAGTATATACCCCACGATTCAGCTGCGTGCCGGAAGGCGCTCGACAAGGATCGAAGTTACTACTCGCCTAGTTCGGCATTGTGGATCAGTATCAACAGATATTGACTGCGGCTGTCAATATCACTTCAATAACAACTTCGAAGTTCGTATTTCTCACAAAGAAAAGGAAATTTCAGAGGATGATCCTCCATGATCGAGAGAATAGACACAACAATGTGAAAATGAATGCTGCACTAACTGGTGGCAGCATAGCGGTTGTTGTGATTAGCTTGTGATTGGCGGGTATTGTATCCCTCACGAGTTATACATGGGAATAAACGCAGCCTTACTGCACGACACGCGACAGAAGACGATCGATCGTAGGCCTACTAGCCATCCTCCACTCGCCCCATCTAAACAATCATATACCTACTACCCCCGAGAGGAATGTTGGGGATTTAGTGGGTGGCGAATGCTATTGGTATCAAAGCCAGAGCTTAGATCGGCATAGTCAGGCCTTGAAATTATACTGATAGCATAGATCCCGAAAGCCTCCACGCTCTCGATACAAATAGTGGATGTGAATGATGATTTGAGATATCAAGTTGTGGTGACGGGAAGTCCACGGCGGTAATAACGGAATCTCGGGAACTACGCACGATCAAAGTTCCGGACGAACTACTCGAGTAAGGGTAGAGCTAGTGTTTATTAGGGTCAGCCACGGCAATTACTGGAGCTGAGTTGGAGAAATTCGTTCCTTTCTTTCGCTGATCTGATGGTTCACCGGATGTTGTCTTCCTAAAAAAAAACTGTCAGATCAAAAGAGAGTTGATTTCGGAACATTTCCGAGGGTGATTTATCTATCATGTAAACTTGATAACAGCCAACAGCCCACGATGTCGATATAATAATATAAGTGCTGTTATGTAATTGATATGTGTTATTATACAGAATGATATGATCTCGCTCGTATATGCTCGGTTGAAGTTGATTACGTCATCTCGAGATGGAACCTACCTAGCTAGAGCTAGCTACAAGTAGTACCGGTATCTTTTCGTCAACTGAGTGTTGGCGCCACCTCATTCTTGAGGTCAAGAAGGTAACGACGAAATGAATGCTGAGGTTGAGGGCCGAAGGATTAGGCTTGCGGAGTCTGGACATCGAACCAGTAATTCAATCAGTGAACACTAAAGTATCAACCACTCTCCATCTCAACATAACAAATCATTTTTGCCATATATTTTGAAGACAAAGAGGTAAGTGAGTTCGAAGTTTGTGTCAAAATACATAAGCTCTCCTTATGTTGATAGAAATACTACAATGCTAACCAGATCTCCTATCACTTGGTCTTCAAGCTCGCAACTCGAATCTCTATCCTACCATACCTCCTTCACGTTCGCACTCAACGGATAGACCTCCATATACGATGCAAGCATAGCATATGAAACAAAGCCCTTGCATGACCAGCATGGATTCCCACGAGCCTATAAGACATCTGGAACCGAAGTAAATTACATATCGTTGAACAAATTGGGCTGGCCCAGGGAGCAAATGTGTTTGTTAGGACAAGCCACCAATTAAAGATCCAATTTCAGTTTGGCATGCGGATATATTGAGCTCGCAATCAACTTCCATACCGTAGCTTGTTGGCAGATTCCATACGGCCATCAATATCTTGGTATAAATATGGCGCAAGTAGTATGGTGGAAAGCACAAGAAATAGCAGTGTTTTGCGCGGCCTCTATCCTGTTGCTTATATACCATAAGAACACTGTTTGTTCTTGATATGAGTATAAAGATGATGTCTGCATACATGCATTCTATCTACCATCCAGATACGAGACAGGTTCGAAGATTGGGAGTGTATTGCTATCCCGAATCTCGTTTGTCGACTCGTGCACGATCTGGGTGTGGGTGTGCCCAACAGAGTTTCCTGGACACATAGTCTGAGGAATTTGGCTCACCGGCTGTTTCCGGGCAATTTTTGAAATGTTGGAAGTCTCGTCAAGTGAAGGTATTTCCTACTATCGTAGAGCAAAAGATCACTTCCTCATAAACTCTTCATTTTCCCCGGAAATCGTCTAAACCACTTCAAGTTGTACAAAGTTGTTTCACCATTGGCTGGGGTCACATATTAGCCGTGTCTACTCGTACATTGGCGGCGTAACACAAGTATGCATCGTCGCGCTTCTTCTATGACCTCTTTTGTGTGTTCTCCAGTTTGATGCACTTAACTTGATTAGGAAGGGTGTACAATGATATCAACACACCTCTACTTTTCATGGGAGCTGTAAAGCTTCGTTTTCTCGCACAAGATAACTTTGCCCCATGTGCGTTGAAACACGTTTGAACACGAGAGATAATTGGATAATGGTCTACCTCAACTTGAGTATGATAGGTATTATACTCGTACCAGGTTATAGTATTGCGAGTGGTTTAGCTTAGGTATTAAGATATACTGTACCCACAGTATTTAATTGTATTGTAGTAAATCGATCATTGCTAAAGTAATTACAGTATCATTTACAATGGCAATGATTTCACAATACATTCTCTCGAATTTTCAATTTTTTTCGTACAGTGTCAATATCAATAATAAATACCAGTACAAAATCACAGACCATACAATACATTCCTTCCAACCAAAACCAATACAGTACCAGTAAGGTTACTTTATTTCTCACCCCTCCCGTCACTTTAGCGCTAGCCCCGGTGTCCCCGAATACTACAATACCTCATCACCTATCTCCGTCTTTGCAGGTGTTCCACATATCCGGAACCCCTGTATAAGGTTACATGCATACAAATCCTTCCTTCCTTCCTTATCCTTCTTACTCTAAATTTCCGTTCCTTTTCCTCTGAAGCCCCCTGTCTCTATCTCCATATTTTAATCCTATTGGATAACAAGGTTGTACTCCCGTCAATTGATCGTCCGCCAAGTAATGCTTGAAAATTTTGAAGAAATAATTTGCACCAATGGGGTTGGAGTATTGGGAACGTTTTTGGTGTTGTTGTGTACAAGTGTTGAGATGTGATGTGAGATGTGAGATGTGAGATGTGAGATTTGAGATAAGTTTTGTTTGCTAGGGAAGGGGAGAGGAAGGGTGAGGCCGTGGGTGTGGGTGTGTGATGGGATGGGGTAGGTGCGATGGATGGGATGGGATGGGATGCGTGAGTGGGCATCAAAGATAACCGGGGAGAATATCATAGTGTATATATATTCCACCACCCCCAAATTATCTCTTCCCATTTTTTCCCTCTTCCATCTTCCCACCTCATCCCATTCCATCCTATCCCACCCTCAATCCCAAACTCAAACCCAAACAACCTCAAACCATGCACCTCTCCCTCCCCCTTCTTTCCCCCCTCCTCCTCCTCCTCTCCACCCCCCTCTCAGCTCAAACAGTCTACCTAATCCGCCACGGCGAAAAGCCATCCGACGGCGGCGTTGGCCTCAGCACCATGGGACTCGAACGCGCACAATGTCTTCGCTCTGTTTTTGGCTCTGCTAGTTCACATGATATTGGATATATTATGGCGCAGACGCCTAAGAGTAGTATGTTTTTGGAGTTTTTTTTTGGGTGTTGTGATTTATTTTCTTGTTTCAGTTTGGGGTTTTTTTGGCTTAGGGCTTTTTGGGTTGGTTCGGTTTGATTTGGTATGAGGGGATTTGATTAGCTTAGATTAGGGGAGGAGTAAGAGAAGGGGGAGAGGGAGAGGGAGGAGAGCATGATGTGATTTGGCTAGCTGTTCTGTCCTATTTTATTTTTTCTTGGTTTCATGGAATGCTACTGTACAAGTAGAAAGCCATCCATCCACCCCTTCCCCAAACGCTCCGCACCCCCAAATTAACCCCCCTCCCCACCCCTAGACGGCAAACGCGCACGCCCCCTCGAAACCGTCCAACCACTCGCCACCGACCTCAACCTAACCGTCGATATTTCCTGCGACAGAGACGATGCAGACTGTGTTGCGGATGTTGTGCAAGGATATGAAGGGACAGGAAATATATTGATTTGTTGGGAACATGATGGGCTCACTGAGATTGTGGAGGCTTTGGGGGATGGGGAGGCGCCGGATTATGATGGGGATGAGTGAGTTGTTTTTTCTTTGGTTTTTTGGTTTTGGCGGGCGGGTGTGGGATTTGAGGTTTTGGGGAAGGGGGATGAGGGTGGAAGGGGTAGAGGCATATGATTACTGGAGATGGTTGGCTAATTATGTATAGGTTCAATGTCATCTGGACGGACCCAAAACCATATACTGCGATTACAGAGATGACTTCGGAGGATTGTCCGGGACTAGATAGTAATTAGGGAAGAAGTATTGGAAGAAGCATGATAAAAGAGGGATAAGAGCTAAAAAGAAACACTTAGAACGCCTTGCAAACCAAAATATCCCCGTCCCCTTCATAATCAGCTAGAAAAAAAACCTCAAATCCCCTCAATCTTCCATTCAAAATCCTCAATGATTTTCTCCACGACATTTTCTGGCATTGGTTGTGTCATAGCAAGATGCATTCCATATTCTTTTTGTGCCAACAAGATCTTCCCCCGAGTTCCATGATGAGTCGATATACTCAGACTTTTGTATAAACCCAAGGCTGGGTATGATACGAAACCAAAAACACCTGCTTCCATTTAGTTTGCGTCGTTTTTCTAAAGGAAAAGGATTGAATCACTTACCCGAAGCCGGTTTTGTAAGGAATCCAATCGTGCCCTTTCCAATACCCTTTACGAATCCCTTTCCACCATCTTTTATCGCACCTTTGACTGGATGGGTAAAAAGTCCTGCAAACCCATCTACAAATCCATATCCGAAGCTCTAATTGTACCACACCAATTAGCCCAAAATCATCAGCAGAAATAACCCTCAAACTCACCTTAGCACCCACTATCCCTCCACTCTTCCAGTCATGCACATGTCCATAATCCCTCGGCCTATCCCCATACATCCCGGGTATTTCATGAAATCCATCCGCAAGCGCAAGCGGTATATCAATCGCCGTTTTCGACATGGCCATTCCGAGGTTGCTAAATCCTTTTCCGACGGCTATGGATCCGGCCTTAAAAGCGTTGCGTTCTGAGAGTGTCCCGTCTTCCCGACGGCGGGATAGTGCCCCTTGATATTCTTGGCGGTAGTTTCCGGCTATACCGCCTACAGCGAGGGTTATGTCGACGACACCATCGACAGTTGCGGAGGTCGTTGCGGTCCAAGGATCCCAGCGCCGGTTTTTGATTTCGATGGGCTTGGGTTTGTATCTTGGGTAAAGTTAGTGGTTCAATTTTCTGGGTATGTCATGTGTGGCTAATAACTCACAGTGTAAGATCTCCGGCGTCAATCTTTTTCTTTTCCACAAGAGTTGCTGCTGCATGGTGAGATAACTTAAGACTTCTCCTACCTTTCTTCCAAAGCCATGTAGCGGGTTGTTGTGGCATTAACTCACAACTCATAGCTTTTACGGGGAGATTTCGGTGGAATGAATTGACGGCTTCTTTAACGCCATTTTCATGTCGGATTTTCACGGCAATATTGTGTGCTGCCATCATTACATCGGGAGAAAAAAGAAATTTGATAGCGTTTGAAAGAGTTGCGACGTCGAGTGATTTGTGTTCAATGGGCGGAGGGCCAGCACCGGCTACTGCGACCATATTTCCCCAGAATGGTTGGCTGTGGAGATGATTAGTTACGATCACTCTACAAAGCAACATGTTTTGACTCACTCTCCGAAGAATGGAACGATTGAAGTAGGGCGGCCATTGACTAATCCACATGCCGTTGTTCCTGCACCACCATGATGTATGACTGCTGAGACATGTCTGAATAACCATTCTATCAAAATTAGTCAATGGTAACTCCTACATTTTGAATATCTCTTACCGTGAGGACAGTCGTCAATGAACAAAACATTATTCTCCTCAACATCTTGCCCAAGTTTACTCCAACCTTTTGATACAATTGCTCTCACGCGACAATCACGAACTGCAGCCATGATAATCGCAGTCATCTTATCAGGGTTCTCCATCACGATGCTACCAAATCCAATATAGATAGGTGTGGGTCCGGCCTCAAGAAACCCTAGTATCCTAGGATCAGGGTCGTATGATGGTGAAGGGCGGAAGAAAAATCCACAAACATCTAGACAGTTGATCAGTAATCGATTCAACATAATCTGAAAATTACTAACCTATGTGCGGAAGCCAATCCTGCGGTTTTGGAACAAGAGCAGGTGACCAACAGTATGTGAATGGAATATCGAGGGAAGTTGCTAAATGAGGGCCAGCCATGATTGGTACAGGCTCAAGGTCCAAAGATTTCTTTCTCCAGTGGTTGATAACGTCTCCGAGTCTAAGGAAGTGATTAGAAAACTTAACTCTAGGAATTCTCAACAAGGGAAACTAACCCTTGCCAGGTCATTATGTCTACTAGTCCATAGGAGAGAAAATTCGCAGTTTTGGGATCTGTTTCAGTGGTTTGAATATTTGCAAGCGGGTGAGGAAATGATCTCGTAGCTGACCATGGCATGGTGAACATAAGATGTACTGGTATTCCCAATGCCTGAGCACAATGAATATGAGCAAAACTAGGTGGATTGGCGATGATTGCCTCCGCAATAAATGGTTCGCCGGTCTCGAAATCTGGTTCGATACATGATCTCCAACATCCTTCGAGCATTTTTGATATCATCTTTCTTTTCTTGGGTATTTCACCACTTAATAAGGTACTGATGCTTGGGAGTATACCAGGATTTTTGGCCATGTACTAAACAAGACTGTGGTTAGCAGGCCACGACTCACGAGACGAGATTAGACAAAAAGCTTACTGCCATCAAATCTTTCGGATCACCACCGATTGCATAAAATTCTAGGCCAGCATCCTGAACAAACTTTTGAAATAAATCATGGGTTGCAAGACGAACTCGATGGCCTGCAAGTTGAAGTTCATTCCCTAATGCTAAGAAGGGTTGAACATCACCTAGACGAGAACATCAGCGCTGAATATACATTGAATTGTGTCAAATAGACTTGGAGAGATGTACCTCGGCTTCCAACAACTTGAATGACTATATTGAGTCTAGGGTACAATCTGACAGACTCTGGACTCTCTTCCGGTATGTACTCAGGCACCGCAATTGAAGGTAACGGGGATTTATTACCCAGAAACTGCATACTGATTCGTCCATCATCTAAACCGGTATTAGTCATAAGCTTGAATATGGAGAATCATTAGACCATCACCTAGAACAGTTGTTGAGACACCGCAGTCCTCATTGCCGAATAATACTTCGTATGGAGGAGGAGGAGCATCCGAATGAATACTTCCACTTCTCCTTGTATTCTGTTCAGGCTGACCCATGATGATCAAATTAAAGGACAGGTGAGTGGATTATCCAGAGTTACAAACGGTATAGCAGGAGATGATGATACTAGAGAAGAAGGAAGTGACAGAGGGAAGGAAAGAGAGAGAGAGAGAGAGAGAGAGAGAGAGAGAGAGAGAGAGAGAGAGAGAGAGAGAGAGAGAGATT